CTAACCAATTGGATTGGGCCCTTTAGTACTGAGCCCCTACTCCCAGTGGTTAAGTTTGGGCCTATCAGAACTGGGGTCATTTGATCGATCACAAATTTGAGAAGTAAGGACTTCAACTGGAGATGTTACCACAATATGATGAAACTTTGGTAGAGATGTAGTAAGTCATCATCAGAGTGAGCTGTATGGTGGGTATGAGCATGACCACTGTCCTTCACACTGTATCCTATAAGTAAATTCTTAGATTAGAGTTTAACTTAGAATTGGTAAGAGTTTGCTCACTAGAACTATAATACATTCTGGTGTCAACACCAAGGAACATTGTTTTTTACATTCACCTAAAGGCTCAAATTTTAGGTGTACTCACCTCTTGCTTTACTTTTAGTTAGTGTATACAATGGATACAAATCTGAACTTACACCCCCGATATCTTCATCCAAAGTGAATAAAAGTAAATACTCTAATGTAATTTTTTTATAATTAAAACATATTTCTGTAGTTGCATCTTGTAAGTCATCAGAGCAAAAAAGGAAATAATTTGCTTGGCTCTCTTTCATCTCTTTCACTTGGTCCAGACACAGAATATATTTAATGCTTAATTCCATTTAGGACTACAGGTTGACAGCTCAATATACAGTACTGTATACAGGTACTCCTCGACTTACGACGGGGTTAGGGACCGACACCCAGGTCGTAAGTTGAAATGGTAGTAAGTCGGAAATGCTTAAATAACACATAGAAAAAAAATTTGGGTCTCTTTTTCTTCTCAGCACCACGAAACACTCACTTTTAAGCTTGCCAGCCATTTTAAAGTGAATTACAGATGAAAATTTTGTCTGTGTACTGGCTTTGTAACTCAAAAATACATAATTTGACCACATTTTGGTACAACTGAGGCAGGTCGTAAGTGCGGGTGGACGTAAGTCGAGTCGGTCGTAAGTCAGGGAGTACCTGTATAGAATGTATCTTGAACATTTTAACTTGTTTCTTAGAAGCTGAATCATTCCCCCCTTTTTTCTGGTGCAAACACAGTTTACATTTGAAAAAAAAATCCATTAGAATACTGTATAAACACTGAAAAAACTTGGTCAGTGATTAACTGATGTGATAGTGCAATTTATTTAACGCACCAGCAACCAGTTAACTTTTAAGAATTGTAACTTTTACTATGGATGGCTAAAGGGGGCTGAACATTAGTAAATAAGAAACATAATGGTTGGTTTAAGGTTGATTGTTAGCCTTCTACATGACGTAACTTACATATTTATTTAGAATTTGTGACTGTTGGGGGAAGGTGTAAATACTTATGAATTGTTCACCTGCTCACTTTCAGGGAACTTGCCATGATAAGATCCTGGCTACAGACTTGTTATCATTATAAGGTACCAGAACAAAAAGAGAAGTAAGATTAATAGAGGATAATGTGGCAAAGAAGGTGTAGAGGTAATGTAGCAGATGTGTCAGGTGGAGGGAGACATTATACATGTAAGCTGAAAAGGTGGAGTAATACATTAAGGCATTAATGATGGCGGGGGTCAGGGGAAGAGTGAGGGCACAAAATATGTTGTGATAGAGCACCCTGTAGGCTCTTTTGTTGTGGATTTCCCTTAAGAGGAGAGCTCTTCAGTGGGTTGAGGAGCTGCAGATAAGATAGTAGAAGTCTTAAATTAGGTTGCTGTGTAGATTTGTCTGGAAAGATAATAATAATAATAATAAACAGTTTATTGAAAAAGTTCTGCAGCCCGGGGGCTGAAAATATACATTGGACATAAATGAATTATTACATACATTGGTGGTTTAACCAAAGTCTTCATTAGAGAAAGGTAAAGGAACATATAGTGAACATACAGATTAATGTTTACAGTGGAGGTCACGTAGATCTTGTGCGCTAAGGTATTGAACAGCAGACACTTGTAGTAACTCCCTCACAGATGGTGTTATGAGGGGCATCACGTGGTTTAGTAGTTCCCTCACAGATGGTGTTATGAGGGGCCTGATCATGTAATTCCTTCACAGATGGTGTTATGAGGGGCATCACATGGTGTGTACAGTCCTGAGAAAAAAAGGGCTATCTTTTGATAACCAAATTTTTGTCTAGAAGAGGTTACCCAGCAAACTGGTTTATAATACAGTACTGTATTCACTTCTTTTTTTTATTTTACTTCACCTGAATTAAAGACGTAAAGGGAGTTATGGTCATTACATATCTTCCGTTTTATATCTACAGTATTTTTTAATTAATCAGAAACTGTTTGCTGTACAGTATTTTATTGGAATTATATACAATACAAGTGTTTCCTTATTGACCCCCTTTCAGACTTTTGCCTGCCATGGTCATATGTTATCTAAGGTGACCACCCTTACTAAAAACAGAAAAATCTTGAAGGATCTCATTCAAAACCACTCATCAGATTTAGCTGATACTGTATATGATAGAAATGTTTCTTAGAAGACTCCATTTCAAAATATCATCTAAAGTCATTGCTTTTACTAAAATAGAAAATATTTTATACTGTCTTCTTGTCTAAAATTAAGAGGTCAGATTTAGATGATATTTTCTAGAAATGTTCATTTGGTGTCAATTCTTTTTTCAGAATTCTGTCCAAAATGGCGTACTGTACACAGATGAGCACGTCAAAGTCCATTGGGTCTCTCGTTTTGCTCAAATATGCACAGTAATTGTTACAGATTAAAAACAAAATTAATAGACTTCATTTGATAATTTCCATTGACTTAGTTATTATTTAAAAAAAAAATTGTACAGGCTTATTTTATTCTTTACGACAAAGATTTTAGTGAAAATTAAATAAAAAGGTTATGGATAACATGCATCTTTATAGGTGGAGGTAAGATGGGTGTAGGTTATCATGTGAGAGGTACAAGAATTAGAGGTGTTGGAGGCATCTTCTTCCTCTAGGTGAGGTATTGCAGTGACATTAAGGAAACAAATGGCATCACAGGGTTTATGAAAGCATTTTACCTCAGGAGGTACTTGGCAGTACAGTAATCAGGGGGTACAGTACTTGGTAGTAATCAGGAGGTACATTACTTGGTAGTGATCTGGAGATACAGTACTTGGTTGTAATCAGGAGGTACTTTGTTGTACAGTAATCAGGGGGTACAGCACTTGGTAGTAATCAGGAGGTACTTTGTTGTACAGTAATCAGGGGGTACAGCACTTGGTAGTAATCAGGAGGTACAGAACTTGGTAGTAATCTGGAGTACAGTAGTTGGGTGTCATCAGAAGGTACTCTGTAGTATTCAGGAGGTAATTTCCTGATATAATTGTAGATATGACACCTTAAACTTTAAGGCTTCTTGAGTGTAATCACACGTGTCTTACTTCCTTTTACTAAACTCACTTATTTCATTCAGTTTCTGTGACAGACTAGCAGATAAAAATGTCAGGGACCTGTCAGTATAAGAAGGGGAGAAAGACAGTGATATGCCCATGATATAGTGGAAGGACATTTCCTGCTCAATAACAATATCTTACTTGAAAATCAATGCAGGAATAGTTGGGTTAAAGTAGGTAAGGTTAAGGATTCACATTGAATACTTTTTGCCTAGTGTATATGGAAGTTGGGGATATGAGGAAATGTGTGTGTGAAATATATCTGCTTGTTGTCGCAGCCCTCAATTGTTGCCGTTTACACTGCTTGGCATCACTCCTCTCTTGAGATAAATAGAAAACATATACCAGTAAGGCTCTTTATTAGATGTAGTCACTGGACCGATACAAGGGTCATGGGGTTTATACAGGGTGTGGAACAACACTAGAAATAAATCCTACATAACAGTTGGTGACAGGGGTGACTGTTGGAACTACAAAGTAACTTAGGTTATTGAGGTCAAGAGGGGAAATGTATGGGAACATTATAATTGAGAATGCCAGAAAATGAACAGAGTATAAGATGATTTACAGTACGTAGTAGCAAAAAAGTTACCATGTGCATAAAAAGGTAAATCAACATATGACATCCATTTATGTAGGTACAGGTATTGACAGGTATTGAGCAAATTTAGACTCCCTTTATTCATTGTTAATGCTGTGTACTGTAATAGAATTGTCCTACTATGGTATTTCTCCTCAACAAGGCCCCAAATATCAATCTGGTTTACTCCTAATGCTTCACTCAACCTATATCAGCTATCGGCAATCTGGCATCACCAAAAAAATTCCTGATGCCATGCTTCTCCTTCATCACAATGCAGAAACAGCAAAACTCAGATAATTATATCCCTTCCCTGGATCTGTTTTAGATCTGAATACATTTTTGGAGATACAGTACGGTACAGTTTAGGGAGGAAGTTGTCTGATTCAAACAAGTTATCCTACCCCAAGGAAAAAACACACGTATGCTGAAAAGTATGATACATTGAATGAGTGTTGTAGAAAACACTGATACAAGTATTTAGCAACTGCATAAGAAGGATGAGTCTCTGATTGTGAAAGAAAGAGATTCATTAGTCTGTGAGAAGCTTCATGGATCATAATCATCAAATATCACTAATACGTATTATGGTTTGTTCGTGCTGTGTAAGAACATTAGTTATATTAATAGTTGAGTCAATGTGTGGTAATATTTAGTTTGTCAAACACATTCAGGCTAATTAAGCTCTTTATTACAGTGACTTAGTCCAGGAATATAATGGGAATAGATCACTGCATGGTATTTAAAGGGTTAAGACAGCTTACTCTCGGCATTGAGTCCTTTTATCACAAAAGATTATCATTAAGATATATTCAGTGAGCTAATTTATTGTACTGTAATGAATGGGTTGTCATTATTGTCAAAGGGTTAACAGTATTTCTTTTAAAGTGAATAGAATTCAGTGTACAGTGTTATAACCAACATAGATGTGTTGTTCTATGTTCTTTCATGAATACCAACAATCATCACTTTTCTTGCAGTCAGTAGTTGTAGTAAAGTAATATTGTCTGGTATGTGGTGTACTCTTTAAAATCACTTTTACTAAAAACCTCATTCTTCTTGCAGTAAATACAGTGTTCAGCGTAGTACAAGCAACTTGGGTGTGTCTTACTATGTGAAACCAGATTTTTCTACGGAGTATCAAGGAAGTATTCGTCGGTTAGAACAACACGTAGAAGAAGATTATGTATCAACACTTAGGAATGCTTGCTTTAAAGAAAAAAATTATAGTGAGTATCTCTTTAATTGTAACCTCATGTCATACATTAGTTTTATAAAAAAATAAACAAAAAAATCAAGAAAATCATTTTTAAGACAGAAAACACAGAGGATGGTAATAGAGTACCTAGTAAGGGAGGTTGGCTGTAGAACTTCATATAAGGTAGCTGAGACAAGATGAAGGGAATATGTGGAGTTAAGAACCTAAGGCACTTTGGGATAACAGCATGATGATGTGTTCCTCTCTGTAGTTAGTTCCAGTACAGTAATATATGTTTTCCTTACATCAAAGGTTTGTTTTTTTGTTTTGTTTTTATCATTGAATTCCACCAGATTAGAGCTCATATTATATTTCCCATTAATTATTTTCTCGTATATTACTGTACAGTATATCTAAAAATGTTGACTTAAACTTTTATAAACAAATTATTTATCGTCTTATACAGTATATTATTTTTCAGAGGAGAATATGATATGGAGAGCTCGATCATTTGGTGACCCGCAGATGTTCAAGAGAGCTCAAGAGCTGAGAACACCGTCTTGTGACTCACTGCAGAGTCTCTATAGTTAAGGATTTTTTCCAGCGTAGCCCAGTTGGTCAAATACTGGGCCTAACTCCACCTGAGCCTGGTTGGTGAGATATTGGTCTAAGCCCGAATGACCAGATCGTTGAGCATTGTCAATTTTTATTTATTTATGATATTCAGATCTCATGATCTCATGATCTCATGATATACTATGTCGAGATTGTCTCTCGTAAGAGTTGTTGATGTAACTTCTTCAGCATTTTAGTTTGGTACTTGTCAAGTTTGTCTGGCACTGGGCTTTTTCCACCTTTGATTTTTCCTTCTTTCTCACTTTCTCTCTTTCTAATTTTTATATTAACCTCACATTGATATTACCATTGGATTTGTTATTGTTGAGTGTTATAAAGTTTATCACTTTTGTTCATTGTTAGAATAAGTTTCAACATTTTTCTTATGAAACACAGTATAATGGATATTGCTTTACTTGTTGCTGCCTGCTAAACCTCACCCAGGTGGTTCTTGGTGATCATAAGGTTAGTAACTTGTTTGGCAAAATTAAAACTTTCATTGTGTCATGATATTGAATTTTGAATATGTATTTGAGTTTTCAGACATATCCTGTAGTTTATTATATATTTCTATTCCAAATACTGAGTCATATTATAGAATTTCTGCAAAGATTATTCTAAGAGTATATTGAATATGAGCAGCTACTATTTTTTGCATTCTTTTATGACTGAGTTTGTCTTATTTACACATTTGCACTCTCTTAATACTAATGTACAACCATAACAGTGGCCCAAAGTTCTTTCTTATCTCATCCAGACTTTTTCTTTTCCTCTCTATTCGGCAAATTAAATAATCAGTCTTTTATAACATTTTGCACTGGACTATTCGCCGGGCACAAAGTGAATATTAACTTACACACCATAGCCGAGTCACTCTTCATTTTCACTCCTTGTGTAACAGATTTTGCTATACAAATTTTCACAATTTTCAGCTTTGTTAGTCTTTCCACCCGAACTTACTCTTACTTCCTTAGCTGCTCTTGTCTGAAATTTGTACATAATTCTCCTGACAATTTCCTTGATGTCTACTCTTGTCCCACAATTTACTGTGCAAACAGGCCTCACTCCCAATAGGTCACAAGCTAACCTAATCATTAAGATTGAGGCATACTAGAACTGGTTTCCAATCTTGCTGTCTGGGTTAGAGCTTAATAGGCTCATTTGACCAGTCACTGTTCCACATCCCAAAGTGACTTGAAGTGTAGCCACAATAAGACAGAATATTTCCAAACATTTCAATAAATGACATTCACCACACCTGTAAATTTTAGATATTGAAGCAACTATGAAACGTTTGTTGAACAGAAGTGACTTAGAGTTCAGTCTTTAGCTGTGTCAGCATGGGTTAGTTCAAAATCTCTTACAGACTGTCAGTAGTATTCATAAATAATGGAGTTAACACATTGCCTTCCTGGTAGAATACAGTATTCATTTTAGTCATTGACACTCACTTGTATTGCTGTTGATCGATCATCATGCGGAGTAGAACTTCAGTGGCTTGTTAGCCCTCGTTGTCACGTTTGTTGTAGGTAAATGTTCTCAAGACTTCATAAATTTACTTACATTTGAACGCCTGTGTCTTAGGTAATATAAGGTGAGAAAGAATTATCCTGCCATTCCACCTCACGTTTTTTCTCTATTTTGGGTGTTATTATCAATCTCCCTCTTGCACATTGTTATCAATATCCTTCTCATATGTTGTCAAGCTTTCTCTTGTGCACTATTGGTCTTCTTCTACCTTGCAACTGGTCCCTCATTATCCGAGTTCCTTTCTCCATGCATCCATTTTAACTCACTTTAGTTTTTGTTTGCTGTGATTAATATTTAGTAACCAGCAAAAGTGTATTTGAAACTGTAGCATCAGTATGACAGATGTCCTTCAGTGTTCAAATGTGGTTGCAAGTCTAATGGGCCCTAGATTTAATAGGCCCCAACCTAACCAAAGCAACTTGTCATTAGGATTGGGGTGCCGCAGGAATGGTCCCCAGTTCTCTTGCTTTGTTTAAGTTAGGACTGAGACCCATTTGATCAGTCACCATCAGATGTTTTCTAAATGGTATTTAGAAAGTCACAACAATAACTAGATTAAATTGAAGATCTGCATGGACTTTAATAAGCTACATTAAAGGAAAGGGGTTGTTTGTTTACTGCAGGTATGCAGGGAGACACAAATTGTGGTGAGTCGTGATGACCCAACAAATCGTCTTAGGGTCTCACGTAGCAACAACACCCACCACCATCACCGTCGAGCTTTATCAACATCGTCATGGATAAAAGTCATCATACATTGAAGACCACTGTACTTTCCACACCCTGTGATATTATTTGGGTAAATTCAATCTTTGTTCAGTGGGTAGAGAGTGGACTGATGTGTCAAGTATACTGGTAACTAGAAAACACCATTGTGCAGTACTTGAAGAAAAAAAGAACATTACTTTTGCCAACCACATACATGTTGGTATATTCAGTCTTTGTTTACTGAACAATGTGTGGATGGAGGAAATGGATGAGGTATGCTGAGAATTACTTTAGTTGTGACCTGTATTATTCTCCAGACTATCAAGTCTTGCACATGTTGGTTGTTATGCTTCACTGCTCATATTTCCTTTTCATATAAAAGTTCACGGTTTGAATATTTCCTGCATCATGATCATCCCCTTCCCCCTCCTCCTCATCTACCTCCCTTGTGTAATTTTATGAATATATTCCAGCTTGTTATAAGTATGACTCCCCTTTTGTACACTTGATCTGTTATTTCTTTGGGATTGAGGTTTAACACAAATATCTTTAATCAATTGTTCATAGTGTCGTGAGAGAAAACATTTTACAATATATTGAATTATGAATAAAACATCTCGGTGCCAATTCATCAGAATGTTAAAAATATATCATTGAGTTGTATTTACAGTATCTCATGACTTATTGTTGTTGACATCTGTGACATGAAGCGTAAATGAACATACAAACTGGTTATTGTTTTTGGTTTCCTGTATTTTTCTGTAATAAAACTATCATATCATAGATTTCTCATTTGTTCATTTTCTTTTTCATATACTGTATGATTCATATTATTTAAATAATGAAAACAGCTCAGTAAATTTATGCTTGTTTCTATCACAAGTTGAGGATACGGGCAAGTATATGTGGAGGCCTTCTGCTCATCTTAGCCCTTTTCTGTTGCATTCTATACTTGTTTTGCACCATGTTAACGTCTAATATCCCAATTTCTTGAGGCTTTATTCATATTGTACTGTATAGGTACTTTCATCATCAACGTCTACCTCCCCTTTATCATATTATTTATGTTGTACTACTGCTTCACCCATTAAGATAGCATCATGAACTTACAACATCCTCCCCCATCTTTTTTTTTTTATACTCCTTTCCTCTTTTTTTTTTAATTTTATACCTCTTCCAAATTTTCAATATTTCTTTCTTTCAGTTTCTCCCTTGGGTCTCCCCGTTCCTCTTCATCACTTACCTTTCTCATTCACTTTTATATTAAGCATTTATTGTGCATAGGTGCCCTTTTTTTTCCTTCTTATCTTGTAATTTTTTTCCAGTTATTCCTTTTTCATTTCCTCATTAATATCCACCAGTTCTGAATTATTGACTGACTGAAGGAAATTTTTTGACCACCTAATACTGTACTGCCACAGCTTACAACCTTTTCATGGTCACATTTGTTCACTACTCACACTACATACTGTAATCCAAAGGCCTTTCTTAGATGCACTTGCTCTGTGTTGTATAATATTCTTGTTTAAACTTATTCCACTGTTTAGAGGTATAACAGTTTAAACAGGTAAGCAGCAAAAGCTTTATGAATAATAATTGTCCTACTTCAACTTGTATGTGATACATGTACAGTATGTCTAGTTTTATTTAAGAAAAATAATGATGGAATTGCTTGAATAAACATTCATACATAGAGTGAATATTTACTCACACTAAACAAAATTTATGAAACAAAAGTAGGTTTATGGTGATAACATCTTCCTCAGTACAGTACAGTACAGTATATTAAAACCAGTGTAAAGAAGGTCTGTGATGGTTGTGCCAAAGTCCATTCACTACTCATGGAATTTTAGTAACTGCAAGATAAATGTGATTTAACATGAATATAAGGATGTTTTTCAGAATTTTATATATGGCCACCAGTTGTTAACATAGGATTTGGCTAATTTGATTTAGAAAAACGGTAGAATTTTAGCTTTGCGTACTTCATACACAGACTGAGGATATTAACAAGTATACTATATGTGGGGATTTCTACTTATTGTCTTCGCCCTCTCCTGTCATTTTCTACACTCGTCTTTCATCACTTCTCAATACCATTTCCTTTTTTCTTTGAGGTTTCCCTACCCTTTAAACTACCCCACATAAAAATTAGAGAAAAGCAATTGTAGAAAGACAAATGTCATATCACTTTCAATGTCTGCTTTCATAGAAAAGTGGATGTGAGTAGTTATGAAACATTGGATAATGTTCACATGTCACTTAATTTTATTTAGTATGAGTTGAGGAGAATGTGATGTAGTTTTAATATGTTTTTATTTTATTTGTTTAATTGCATGTCAAAGGGACCCAAGTCCTAATACAACACAACTTAACCTAGCTATTATGGTTGGGACCCATTAGGATTGGGTGTCAATCCTAATGATTTAGTTGGGCTAGGTTGGTCCCTATATGGATGAGGCTCACTTGACGTATCATCACCTTGTTTGTCACATCTAGTTAGAAATTTAAGTTTATTGAATAGATGGAAGTAGATGGCTTTTGGTCAAATCCGGGTGCATTTTTAATTTGATAGTGTGTGGGACATTTTTATACCATATGCATTACAGCTATAAACATGAAGCATATGATTGTATGAGACAGGGAGGAAAGAACTGATTGAATCTCATATTGTTGCTAAACTAGACCTGCCTGTTGGTGCCCAGGAGATGGAGTTTACTTAGAACAGCAAGTGATATAAACCCCTCATGAAGGTGGTGTACATCAGGAGCAAATGCATACATGGTCTCTCCTTTTATTTTCTGTTAATCTTTCATTTTTATTTTTGTGTTCTGTTGTAGAACTCCTCAGCCACAACATTTGTTATTATTAGAGCCTCTTTTTAAGAGGAAAGAGAGCTATAACCCTTTAACCAAAATAACATCTTGGCTCTGTCTCTCAGCAATATAAAAAGCCAATATCTAGACTACTTATAAAATAAACTGATGCTTCTTGTAGCTTCAGGAGTATTTGAACCAGCTGGGAGTGCTCATGGCAGCACACTTTGTTGGGTTTAAAAAAACACAAAGATGGATACAAGGATGTGCTATTTGATACCTCTTGTCAAATACAGTGTTCTTCACCTAGTTTTTGCATATAATTCCTTTGTTATTTCATCTTTTTAGTATTAGAATATATAAGACATTAAGGTAAATATATAATCAAAGACAAGAAGTCATAATTAGTGTGAGTGTGGAAGGTGATGCCTCGTGTAGTCATCATTTAATTACCCGTCACTCTATGAAAGGCATAGAGTTATGCTAGTGAGTAGATAATACTGGTCTGTTGAGAGGAGGAAACTTGACATCTGTCGGAAAAATCTTCACTTTCCTACAAGTACATTTCAGCTCAAAGAATTTATGTAATTATTGTCGAAGAACCTCGATTTTCTCTCTCTCAGATATAGTCTTTAGGTTACAGCCATTCAGTCAAATTTTTGTCTTTGCTCATGATTATGTGAACATGTTGGGTACTGTATATACTATGTACAGTATTTAAGAAGTATCAAGTGCCCTTAACTGGTACTTTTCTAGAAGATTTTCAGTCTGAAAAACAGATAAAGTGAAATATTTTACAGTGATGACTGTTTGGGGAATGGAGAGGAAAAATGATGCATAACTGTCACCCTATTTTTTTAGCTTTTAGTACACCTATTTATTCATTATCTGGTGTAGTTACACGATAATGTATGTCAGGTAAAAAAAAACATTGAGTAAATTTGGGTATCAGTAGATTTTGTATTGTAATTATTCACATTTTAGAAAACTACAAGACAAAGAAAATATAGATTTATACACTTGAATGAATACTATGGGAGGCAGGATATTTACTGTACATACTGTCAGCTGGAAATAAACTGTTGTAACACTCTTGTATGTAAGTGTGACTGGTAACTACTTTCTAAAGATCTATTAAACTGATGTATGTGACATCCTTCAGCCTTGAGTGATAAATGTCAACAGTTTATTGATTTTTATATTTTTTATGTGCATACATGTTTCAAATTATGATAATTAGGTTATATTATTTTTATTTGTGGATCTTTCTCATCACATACGGTAATCTGGTAAATGTCATAAAATCTGTTTTATCTGGTAAAGGGTTGAGATATGTGTATCTTGTAGGTTGAAAGATAATGGATACCTTTTATTTTTTTTCAGACTGTGAGTGATGTATGTATAATATTAGGAGATGTGTACGTGTTCATAGTGTGGTACAGTACTCAGACACGTGTGTTGTAATGTGGCAGTATTCTTGTAATCGCAGTAGCAGCTGATATATATTGTACATGGTTGGAAAAATGCTAATACTGTACAGGTATTTTATTTCTGTGGTTGCAGTTCTGTTATATTTGTATTTTATACACTATGTGATGTATGATTTTTGTTCCAGGTGAAGTTCTTTAGCAGAAAATTGATAGGAATCTTCCTTAATAGAGTACAGCATAGAATATAAAAAATTTGAAACATTCTTTTTTTTTTACGTTATTCGAATGTTAAGGGATAAACTCGTCATCACAGTTTGGTCTTGACATCAACATGATTTGATTATACTTGCATTAACTTTATCTAAATGGTAAATTAGCTGGCCTCCTTCTTTTAAACAGTGCTAGTTGTTGAGGCTGTTGTATATATTACTTTTATCCACTCTCCTCCATTTTAGTGGCAACTGTCTTACAGATGTTTTAGTCAAATAAAGGGATGAAATAACCAGTATAGTATCCCATTTTCGCTAATAACGGCATTTTTCAGGCACCTATTAGACGTTATTGGCGAGAGCATATGCAGGTTGTACCTCTCTAGTCCGGAACGATTTTAGTTTGCCCAATAGGTAGATAACCAGTTTTTTTTTTTTTTTTTTTTTTTTTTATCTGAATTATTATTATTATTACAGGAGTATTACATTTTCGCCCCTCAGGTCAGTGACCTCTGCCCAGGTGGGCTAATCCCTGTAAAAAAACAACAGCAACAAAGCCACGGGAAATTAAGGTTTGTTAACATCCGGCAGTTCGGCTGCTCTCTCTCTCTGCTTGTCTATACAGAGTACAACATTTAACCCTTCAGTATACCTATATGAACAGTAAATAAGTGTTGCTTTCATATTCTTATGTAGAGTAATGACGATATGTTTTCACGTGTGCGCACTTACATATGCACAGTCTCACTTTTTTCCTTTACCATTAATGATTAACTACTTATATTGTTCTATTTATTAACATTAGATAACATTACTTCAAACAACCATATTAATATTTTACATTAATTTTACTACAGCTACAACCTGGGTCTTATTTTCTTGTTTTATATGTAGAACCAATCAGTCACTGGTTTTGTAAACATTAACGAAAACAATGCCGGCAGCCATCTCGTCTCCTCGTGTGTTTTAATATTCCACGAATTATTAATGAATTGCATTGTTCATTTTGCACACAAACATTAATTATAAAAAAATCAGAAACATTAATTAAAACATATATGAACAGTAAATAAGTGTTGCTTTCATATTCTTATGTAGAGTAATGACGATATGTTTTCACTTGTGTGCACTTACTTACACGCAGTCTCACTTTTTTTCTTTAACATAAATGGTTTGCTACTTTTATTGTTCTATTTATTAACATTAGATAACATTACTTAAAACAACCATATTAATTTTTTACATTAATTTTACTACAGCTACAACCAGGGTCTTATTTTCTTCAGTTTTATATGTAGAACCAGTCAGTCACTGGTTTTGTTATCAACGAAAACAATGCTGTGTCATTTCCTCGTGTGTTTTAATAATCTATGTATTATTAATGAATTGTATTGCTCATTTTGCACACATAAACATTAATTCAATAAAAAAGACATTCAGTAATAAACAATAATGAATCTTTTGTACATAAGAGAAATGACGCTGTTTACACAATTGTGCACGTCTTCTGAACGTTGGCAGGCCTTTCAAACCTGTCAAAATTCAAGTTTCCGCCGTCAAAATTTTTAATTATGTAGTGTTTTTTGTGTGTGTGTCCAAATAAAAAACGTTGAATTAAAAACTCGCGAAATTTGAGAAGCTACTGTACGACATTTAACCCTTCAATATGTCTTCAAAGAGACCATGAAGCAGTGAAAGTGATGCAAGCGTAAGCGCAAGTCACCATCTGTCCAGGAAAAGGGTGTATTTCCATGGTCCGGCACCGGTCAGGTTCCAATGTTGCCGGGCTAGAGAGGTACAACCTGTGTGTGTGTGCGTGCATATATATATATATATATATATATATATATATATATATATATATATATATATATATATATATATATATATATATATATATATATATATATATATATATATATATATATATATATATATATATATATACACACACCAATAACGTCTAATAGGTGCCTGAAAAATGCCGTTATTAGCGAAAACGTTATTTGTGTGACTTTAAAATACATGTAAAAAGGGTTTATTGGTGCTGCCGCCCCAAGAATTTCACCCATTATTTCCCCCATTGAAGCCCTCCTAACACTTTTTGTTAGCTGAAATAAGAATTGTTATTCAATCATCAAATTAAGAGTTTGAGTAATATAACAGGTGCTTGGTGTGATGGTTGTTCCGTATCTGAGGGCCGCTAACACTTGCACTGCCTTTCATTCTACAAGCTAACC